GCCTTCTACATGACAATAAATTACAGCCAAACTTCATTACTCAATCTTGTAAAAAGGACTTCACTACTGAAAGAAAAACCTACAAGAACAATGACTGGAATGCTCACCCAAAACCCAGGCTAAGAGATACAATATAACAAGTAGCGCCAAAAAATATAATTCACATGCATATTAATATCAGGTTAAATGAAAATGAACTTTCAAGCAAGCATACATTTCTTTAGCTGATAACAATATATATGAGAAGTCAGGTGCCAACAGACATCCAACCACACTGCAGATTGCAGAGGTGATATCCCACCACTATACTTAAACTTGTTCACATAAATGTTACTGTAATCATCAAGAATCAAACATGAAAGATCAAAAAGCTTACCATAGCATAATCATTAACTTCAAAACATAAAACCGCACAGAGAAAAGCACTAACCGCAGTCATTAAGAGTCTTCTGAGAACAACACCTTCCTTAGACGGTAAAAGCTTCAAGACCAAATTTGCAACGTTAATAGCACCACCATTCGCCTTGTTCAGTAAGTAACCATCAGAGGTTGCACTGTTTACTGTTGTCAGTCGCTGCAAGCCCTTCCTGGAGAAGCAACTAGATTAAGGACCAAATATAGATACACATACTAGATAATTAGATATCAGAAATAAAACAAATAAAAAACAATCATAGTAATAGAATAACTGATCTAGGAGAATTGCATTGAAGAAGGAAAAGGATGTCTTTCCCTTCAAGTGCTCATAGCATGAAATATAAAACATTCAATTATCTGGAAACTTCAGCATTTTGCCACTCGCAGATATCCAATAGATTACTCCTTTCCCATCATCAAAACAAACTGATCTTTTCCTTGTTAAATAGGTCAGTAATAATAGTATATACAATTTTTTTTTCCAGCATGCATGCCTTTTCTTTCTTTGGTTGAGGCAAAATGAGAAACTAGCTCCCAAGTTCGTTTAGTTCAGAGCAGGGTAGTTTTGTTTTCTTTCTTCAATAGAAAAGAAGTTCAATTCAAGGAACCAAGGAGATGCACCCATGTAAAACAATATTTATAAAATAGTTTAAATCATAATAGTCAATGATTAGCAGAGAAAAGTTTTTCAGCGATGCCAGAGTTTCAAGTTTCTTGTAAACGAAAAAGTTAAAAACCAAATACATCATATTTTTTAATAATACTTAAAGGATTTGTAATTAGGTCTTTTGTTTGTTTTAATAGAGTATCTATCGGGAAATGGATTTGGACATTTATATTCTCGCTGTTTATGTTTGATGAATGTAGCCTAGACTATATGGTTAAAAAATCACACATCAATCTCCTCAGAAAAACAAACCAAATGTTCAATGGGAAGAAATTGTCCAACACACCAGAAACATCAACAACTCAAGAAATAGAGTGACTTCTGTTTGAAGATTTACTAATCAAATTAGTTTTAGCATTAAAACTTAGGGTGTAAGAAATGAGTCAACGCACCTAGTTGCACCTATTCTCAGGAATAGGGCGACTTTCTGCCATTGGAATTCTTTTCTTTTGTTCAAAACTACCTAAACAGGAACCAACAGAATGAGTAAGAACAAAATAAATATAAAACCAACTCGACAGTTTTCATATTTATCTGTAATTACCGAACAGAAAACTAGTTTCAGAACTCTAATATGTTTTATTTCAAAAAAAAAAAGTTTCAGGACTATAATAATTATGACTACTACAGTAAGATTCTGCAGAGATAATTGTAAGGATGCATGTTGATCAGTATTCAAAAAAATATTTGCTACAGCTTCATCCTCTGAGAAAATAAGTACCGAATACTTGCAGCTATCAGGAAGAGACTGCTGGAGTGAACTACCTAGATCTAGATAAATGTAGCAAGCTCCATAAAATGGTGTTTTAACCACCTCTTTGGCCATAACCACAACTATTGAAAGTTCGAACACAGTAAGATTTAAACATACTACAATATCATGAAAAGGACAAGATTGGTAGCCTGTAAAACAAAAGTAGAGTTCTTAAAGCATTTGATACCGAATATAAAATTTTTCTTGTTGCAGCTGAATTTTCAGTTAGAAGTTTCTCAACAACATAAGGGTATGCAGCATCAAATGTCTTAAAATTTTTATCTGCCGCTACAGCCAAACCTGGGAGAACATCAATGAGAAGTAATCAATTAAAAGTAGGAAACTACAGAGCAAAAGAAGAATCACAGTCAAACCAAGAAACAGCACAGAAAAAAGCACATCCCTGTTTCTTCCAACTACAAAATCAAGTGAGTAAAAACATTTGTCAGAAAAGACAAAGGAGGAGAAAAATAACCAAAGCTGTTGTTACTTCTATATGATCTATATGAATCTCTCCAATGGAAAGGAAAGTTTAGATCGAAACCTGATCACTGATTTAAAAAAAAAAAAAAAAAAACAGAATCTAACATCACTTTCTACTGCTCTGACAATTTTTTTCTTCTCTCCAGCTTATTATTATACAGTTTTAGTACACCACGTTTTCCTTTCAGATCTTGAATGGGGAAAGTTTCTGATCTACACTTCATTTCTCATAATATAGTGGGATCAATAATACATCCATATCAAGGTCTGAAACTTGGTATCGTCCACTTAAAGATCTAAATTAAACATTGAATTAATGACAGTCTCCTTTGTACTCGAGCACTCCTGTCATCATTTAATTGGAATATTATGATGAACTTGCCAAAGGTACAATTGAATTTGTCCAAAGACACTGTCTTGTACCATTTGTGTTTTTCAAATCACTCAACTTCATGGAGCATGTGCATCAAAAGTAATATTCCTTTTGTTTCAATGTCATGTGCATCACAAGATATTGGAACTCTTAAAAACTGAGAAAATAAGAGGTCCACATGTGATAACATACCTTCAAAAGAAGCAAGAGAACGTAGTAAAAGTGTATAGTACGGTGGCATACGGAAATGATACTTCAAAGCTACAGACCATATTTTTGCCAGAACCTTCAAATCATGTTACAAGAATCAGCCACTTGAAGTTACAAAGGCTATAAAAATTTTGCATGACCATAATGCCGATGCAAAGTGCAAGAAACATATAGATTACTAATATCCCATAAGAAACCAATTTAAGTACTTAAAACCAAAGAATTGTTTTTCTTAAAATATGAAAATCCATAACAATTATGTCCCTAAAGATAAAACCAATTAGGCAAAATGAGCGAATACATAATACAAGGTATTTTAGAATTTCACGGTACTACAACTGGATTTACTGACCTATAGGAAAAAATTAAAAGTTAAAAAAGTGTGAAGAAAGACAGAACCAAGTAGGTAATAATCACCTCTAGTATCTCCCAACTCCCCGAAACTCTTAGAACCATATATGTAAAAATAATATTTGAACAATATGATTTATTCAATTCAACAATCAAATCTTTTGTTTGAAAATTTTCTGTGGCTTAAGATGCAACACTATCCTCAATGTTATATGGTAGGGGATTTTAGTTACTTTCAGATTTGGTTCTCACCCTGCTGAACTTGACATCAGGAATTCCATCTTTAAATTCTACCTCTCCCAAGGCAACCTCCAGATCCTGAATCATTTTCAAAGCTCCAAACAGGTACAAATATCAAAAGGAGCCTCAGAGTGTTCAAATGTGAAATAAAACAACAAACTTGAAATCCAATATATAACTATTAGCATAAGCATGCCTGTCTATCTTCCTAAAAGTAATGGTAAAGAGGGTCAGCTATACAAGAAGCTAACAGAATTTCACTAAATACTTGTGTACCATGGTAACAAGGCGAGTATTTGTTCCTGGCCTTACAACATCCATTTCGGTCAGAGAATGAACAAGAGATGCCCAATCACCATTTACAATGTGCACAATTGATGCTAGCATAGCATGCTGATGCTTCTTTTCCATTCGACAAAGCAAACCAAAGTCTAGAAACCTGGCAGAGAGATCATTATAACTTGCACCAATTTTAGAGAACAAATTAACTGGTCCCTATGCAGGAAAGCATTCAAAATATACCCTATCTGTCCTGATGATGTATACCGCAAGTTCCCAGGATGTGGATCAGCATGTAATATGCCTGTTTCAAGAAGTTGAATGAGTGTTGCCTCCACTCCCTTGTTAACCTAGATAGTTCATGCACAGGGTTCAGCTGATTACTTGTACATAGAACTTGACTACATCAAAAGAAAGGAGCAATAACACATTAGAGATACTAATCTGGTATATATTTTAGCTGGAACTACCAGTAAACTGATAGAAAATGATGTTCTCAACATTACACTTAGGGGGTGAAAATGATCTGAACTGAATATCAGAGCACTTGTAAACTATTGTTGATCTTGAGCCTGACTAGGGAACTTGATTTTGAGTTTTTGTTAGAGCTTAAGTTTGAACTGAATCACAGATTATGCTCGCGCTTTATCTGACTCAAACTTGACAGTACTGTCCCATAAAGTTATCAATTTCAAACATGTTTGCCCTTACATGAGCCATAAATTGCACTTGAGCTCAAAATAAGAGATATATATACTTATTATTACATACATCAATATTCAAACATATTTTGGAACTTCCAACAAGTTTTTGACTTAATAATATAAATAAGTATGAAAATAGCATCAGGTTCAACTCAAAACTCAGTCAAACCAAGCTTGAACTGAAAATCAACTAAACTGAGTCTGAATTGTTCACAAATAGGTCTAGTTCAGTGTCAGCTCTATTCGTGCAACTGAACATCTTGGGTTATAGTGCATAGAAGTAAAAATTAGCAATTCCGTAATAGTGCTCATGACTTACGAGAGAGTTTCATTTAAGTCATGAAAATAAGTTTTACTTGCCAGTATTAACAAAGAAGAAGAAAATTTGTCACCTACCAAATCAAGAAGGCGTCTTTTGGCATCAATTTTCTGCCTGTCTGAATATGTGGAAAGTTGATTAACAGAGTTACCAGCAGTTATGGCGAGTAAATCAGTGGGGCTCTCACCAACTATCCATTCCATTGTCAGAACCCTCTTTCGACTTAAATTTTCAAATACTTTTGGAACATAAATAAAAGGAAAGCGGGAATGAGCTTCCTGCAGAGAAAGCAAATAAGTTCAATTAGAAGGAACAGGACAATGATGAAACTAAAGAAAAACAACCCTAGAATTTTTGTTTGCCAAACGAAAAGCCTTCTAAAAAATTATTAAACTAGTCTTTGGGCCACATAAAGATCTTTCCTCTTCTCTCTGTGTCTATCTGATGTCTCCTCACTCCTGCTGTCCTGGTTCCTTCATTTTTGTTTTTTCAGATAAAACTCATCAGTCTTCATTGTGCCATAAAATCCTGGAGAAGTATGATTTTTTTTTTTCCAATTTTTTATGTGAATAACCACAAAACTATTGTGGTCTAAAATAATACCTATCAGATTAGTTAAGAGTTAATTTAAGTCCAACAATCTAAATGGAAGTAGGTTACTTCTTTCTTCCTTTTAACCGAGGTAATTTTGTGAGATATACCTGAATTAAAAACATTTCATCTAGGAAAGAAGTTTCTTTCCAAAAGTATAAAAACCATGTTAGAGTGGAAGCTACAACATTATATAGAAAAAATGACACTAGAAACATAAGGGTAAAAATTAAAGCCTCGGAAGAACCAATATCCCATTTCAGCCATGCGGCTGGGTGGGCCCTAGAGGATTTGGATGTCCTGTGTAGGGCAAAGAGAGCTTGAATGTAATACTTAGAAAAAATATAAAAATAGATATCTCAAATCTCAATAACCAAATCAATAACTCAATGTTTACACAATAATCATATATATAGTTACCAAATAACAAAAACGAATTTACCCTATTTACAGGTACAAAATATAATGAGAATAGAAATTCTTAAATCAATCTAGAAAATCTACTATATAGGAAAATAAACTAACTATTTGAATAACTTATAATAAAGAATAGCTAAACAGGATCGTAACTAATAGGAAATAATAAACACATGCCATCACAATAAGCCTACAGGTAATAATTTCTAAATGGATATTACAATTGCATGAACATCTTCATATACAAGTTAGGATCTTCTTATTCTGCATCATTTTACTCATTAAAAATTTGACCTCGAGTTTTGAAATGTCAAAATAAGAAGAATTTGAAAAGTGGAACTTTGTTGTCAAGTGAACATCAGGTGCAAGGTTATTAGTAAGGGGGATAGATCAGACTTGGGAAGACTAGTGGTTGGAGGGTGGTACTCTCAGAGAGCAGTATCCATAGATTTATGACTCATTTTTAGAGGTTGGAGGAGTGGAGAAAGAATGACAGGTTTTTGTGATGAGAAACTTGAATAACTAGGAGATTCGTGAAAATGTGAAGTTGCTAAGCACTCTATCCATTGTGAATTTGGATGGGAGTAATGATATTCCCTTATGGCGTCCTACTACAAGTGCGTCTTTCACAGTTAGGTCCGTCTATAAGCAGTTGTTCAAGCATGATGGAAAATAGCTTTACTTTCCCATTTAGACAGATTTAGAAGACAAGAGCCCCACCTCATCTACCGTTTTTAGCATAGGAGGCTAATAGGCAATGTATTCTGAAAATTAATAAATTAAAGAGCCAGAATAATATTTTGGTGAACACCTGTCATCTTTGCAAGAGGGCTGAAGAGTCAACCATGTTCTGCTCTGATGTCCTGCAGTACAAGCTATAGACTATGGTTTATACTCTACTAGGCATAAGTTGGGTGACTACAAGGTATGTGAAAAATGAAATTAGGGTGTGGAAGGGTATTGGAGGAAGGAGAAAACATGCAGAGCTAATACCACACTATCTTTTGGGTTATGTGGAAAGAGAGGAACAAAAAGACTTCTGATAGGGTAAAGAATGTGGATGCTTTTGACTTACTAAAGATTAGATGGTTCCAAATGTTTGGTCTTTTGTTGTTGAGTCATCATCTTCATTCAATGGAAGATTTAGGAAATTCTATTGACACTTTAAGGTTCTTTCTTTTGACATTTCTTTTTTCAGATAGGTTGAAAACTATTTGGGTATAGGGTTTTGAAACTTTGGTTGTTAGGATTCTTTTATCTCTGATACCAACTAATTTACGACAAATATGGTTGATTTGTACAATTACGAATTTGGGGATAAAAAAGCTAGACATTACCTAGGGTTTCTTAAACATCCTATTTAAGAAATCTTAAGTATCACTTAGGATTTCTTAAATGTCTTATTTAAGAAATCTTAACTATCACACTTAAGGGTTTAATTACATCACACAACCAGAAAACCAAAAAATTCTGAAAATATTATTGAATACTTAAATTCTCCAATAAGTAAAATTACAAACTTTTTATAATATTTTTAAACAATCTTTCCTAAATAAAATTAAAATAAAAAATAATAAACTACTAAAATTAGGAATTCTAATAAGAATGAGAGACTAATTTTAATAATAGTAGAAATATTGAGAAAAGTAGAAATTCTAAATTATTAAAATTTTAGTAATACTCTTAAATAAAAAATAATAGACTCTTAAATAGTATAATTATTTCACATTTATATAATTACAATTTTTAATTTATTTCGAAAATCTAGCGTCAACCCATTCTGGATCATAATGCTACTAGCAATACATTCATTTTCTTTTCTCTAAAGCCAATTAGAGGACTTAATATACATTTCAAATCAAGTAATTTAGTTAAATTCATGAGTAGATATTAATTCACTTGTCCAAATAATCAATCTACCCAAAAAAGTCAGTATAGATTGTCACTTGACTGAAAAAAGTAAAAAGGCACGCCAGAAAACTTTAAAAACTGGTCTAAAAGGTCAACAACTGGTTTGGAAGTTGCTGAACCAAGTAACTTAAACCAGATTGAGTTAAACCAATTTGAATATGTCAATGGAAGGCTTCACAATGTTGAAACCTATACCCACTAGTCCACGAATGGGAGTCATCTGCCGACTTTCGTTAGTCCTCTAACATCAATCTTTTGGTGATGGATTGCACTAGAGGCCCTGGTTCCAAATTTAGTATCAATGTTACTTGTCACATCTACGAAGGAGGAAATCCATTGATTGTTACAGTGTCTGACGATTTCTGGTGGGTGAGATGGACTCGGGTCATGGTAGATGATGAGATTTGGTGCAGGCAAGGATTGGGTCCTTCTAAAGCTGATGGACTTGGCTGGGTGACTGGAGAAAATTTTCACAGCCGAACAGTCCTTTTTGGTGTGTTGTTTCTACAACTTCTGAGGTTTAGGGTTGAGAGGGTATTGTTGTGGTGGCAATACATCATGAAGTTTGGAAAAAGAATATATATGATTTTATGATAAATTGAAATTAGATTTTGGCACCAATAGATGTAGGATGAAGAAAATTTAAACACAATACTTAAACAAATTTTATTAAAAACCAAATTAGTGATTTTGAATCTTGATAACCAAGTTAAGAACTAAATATTTATGTAAATACTTTTGTATAGAGGTGACACCCCCTTTGGTGTACTATTACATGTTTTTATCTAAAAAAACTAAATATTTATATAACAATCATATGAATAGCCTACCAAAGAACTAAATTAGAGTAAATTAGTACAAAAATACAATCAAAATAAGAATTCTTAAGTCAACCAAAAAAATCAATTAATAGAAAAATAAGCTAATTAATTGATAACCTATAACAAAGACTAACTAAATAGGATCTTATAGTTTGAGCTCATACGGGCTAAGAATATCATACAGTTTAGGCTCTTGCGAAAAGGAGCAAATTATCATGCAATTGAAGCCACGCAACATGGAGCTCGACATTGTGCAGTTTAAGTTCTTGCTATAAGGAGCTGATATAACTACATAGAGGACAGCAAGCACCAATACTAATCCGTAAGGAATAATTTTAAACAAGCTAAATATCTAAGTAATACATAAACATTACAATTACATAAATATCTCTTATTATTGAAATATATCCAATTTAAGATCTTCTTGTTACCCTTGTTCCAGACATGTTCCTTCCATATTGTGGCAAAAAGTGTGACCTCCAATGACAGATTTGTTATGAAGTTTTAGCCATAAAGTGCGACCTCTAATGGCAGATTTGTTATAAAGTTTAAGGCGTACTTTCTCCAAAAAAAAGTGAACTTCAAATAAAGAATGAAAGAGTACCAGATATTGGGAAGCATTGGCAGCCTCTAAAATATAATCTAGCTCCCCAACTAAACCTTTTCCAAGCTCGTCAGCATACAATCGAAGGTCACTTTTCCTCTTCGCTATCTTTTGCAGCACCCCAAGCTGAAATTTGATCATTAAATCATTAGATTCATGTTTTTAAATAGAGGGGAATAAGAATAATAGTTTTCAATACAAACCCCAAGCCGGAGAATGTAAATATCTCGCACTACCACATGAAGCAAATTAGGGCGCTGAACTTTCACAGCAACATTAAAACCATCAACCGTACGTCCACGATAAACCTAGAATGCATGCCCCATATACAAGTGAGAAGCAAATTAAAAGATCCTAAAACAAACACAACCACTAAGGAGCTATTAATGCATGATATATGGTATCAGCTTTGTGCACAATATCTGCGTAAAATAACACCTGACCAAATGAGGCTGCTGCTACGGGCTCTTCAGACATGTAGCTAAAAAATGATTTTATGGGAGAACCTAATTCCTCCTCAATAATTTTCATAGCAATAGACCTTGGAAAAGGAGGGATTTGCTCATTCAGCTCAGAGAGTGCCTGCAATGACATGATAATAAGGTATATAGAAAAGGATTCTCTTTAGCATAGTAGTGTGCATGAAACTCTCATTTAGGAGAATAATATGAACATATAGCATCACATCATACATGTATGTACACACAAGAATCTACTAAAGGCATAAAGGTAAATATGCAACTTATCCAACTTAAATTTCTGAAATATGAATACATTTTTTCCTTTTTTTAATGCCCAATAAGGAGGGATTTGCTCATTCAGCTCAGAGAGTGCCTGCAATGACATGATAATAAGGTATATAGAAAAGGATTCTCTTTAGCATAGTAGTGTGCATGAAACTCTCATTTAGGAGAATAATATGAACATATAGCATCACATCATACATGTATGTACACACAAGAATCTACTAAAGGCATAAAGGTAAATATGCAACTTATCCAACTTAAATTTCTGAAATATGAATACATTTTTTCCTTTTTTTAATGCCCAATAAGGAGGGATTTGCTCATTCAGCTCAGAGAGTGCCTGCAATGACATGATAATAAGGTATATAGAAAAGGATTCTCTTTAGCATAGTAGTGTGCATGAAACTCTCATTTAGGAGAATAATATGAACATATAGCATCACATCATACATGTATGTACACACAAGAATCTACTAAAGGCATAAAGGTAAATATGCAACTTATCCAACTTAAATTTCTGAAATATGAATACATTTTTTCCTTTTTTTAATGCCCAATAAGGAGGGATTTGCTCATTCAGCTCAGAGAGTGCCTGCAATGACATGATAATAAGGTATATAGAAAAGGATTCTCTTTAGCATAGTAGTGTGCATGAAACTCTCATTTAGGAGAATAATATGAACATATAGCATCACATCATACATGTATGTACACACAAGAATCTACTAAAGGCATAAAGGTAAATATGCAACTTATCCAACTTAAATTTCTGAAATATGAATACATTTTTTCCTTTTTTTAATGCCCAATAAGGAGGGCAAACTATACAGAATGTACAATGTTAACAGAACAAAATGAAAAGTTAGAACCATTTGCCATGAAAGGTGAAAATAAATAGAGCTTAAATGAATGACGAACAAAAGGGTGAAATAAATGAGAACCTTGAATCCATACTCTGCCATGACCCACAAGAAAAGCTCTAAGAGTTATGCAAATTAACAACTTGAATTTCATAAAATTCTGAATGTCATGAGCATCTCATGTTAACATAAAGGAAGACAGAAAACTACCTTTTATCTCACCTTGGTAATTTCAGTACCAATGATATCTGGCCTCGTGGAAAGCGACTGACCAACTGCACCATTGAACAGATATCTGTAACTATCATGTTGTGTTATCTTATCACAGCGGGAGAAATTTAAAACTCTCAGCATATAACCTAAAATTAGCACTTGAGGAAGCATGAAAAGGTAGAATCTCAAAGAAAAGAACAAATTTTGATTAGCAAAATTTCAATATGTTCAAATTAAACTTCATGAATAATATCACTAACCTTTGACAAAAGTAGGACCCAAGTTTAGCATTGTTTCTTTCAATACCATCCCAAACTCATATTGTGAAATATTCCTGTTAGTATCCTTATTTGAATCCGATCTTAGAAACTTTTTGATCCCCGACATTCGAATTCTAACCGCAGCAAATGCAAAGGAGGAGAACACCTTCCATTACATAATGTTGCAAAGGCAATTAAGATGATTTCTCTAAAAACCTAAGAAACAGCAGTTCATATAGATAAATGAGATATGCTGATAACAGATATATCTAGAAAACTGCAGTTCAGGCTAGAATGCTTGGTGGAAACAGCAATGCTTCATAAGTTTGGAGTCATGTCTCTGCATGAGATCATTGATTGCAGGTGACTGAGCTTGCATAGTGATCAATCCTACGTATGAAATCACAGCCTAATTAAAGAACAAGAATCCTGTACTAATAAATGAACTTTGTGTTTCAGAAGAGAATTCTCGCAAAGATACGATTGAGCTGCTTCTTAGCTATATCATCCAAATGAATTCCAGAGAGACATTGGTACTAATATCAAGAAATATCAAGCCTCTTAGTGGCTTGGAGGTGAAAGAAACATGGTTAGAAGTTGTCTGTGGCCATCCCAGGGAGATGATGCTAGAACTTCCATCAAAAGAAAGTTAATATACAGTGCCTTTAATAAACATATCCTAGAAGAGAAGAAAATGAGACTACTTACGGTTAGGATGCGTGCATAATATTGCATTATATATGAATTTTTAGCATAGAAATATTATAATTACCTCCAGAAGTCGAAGGCCCACAACATGAGGCCTGCAGCTGAAATAGGCAGCAACGTCTTCTGGATCATAGACTTCAGGAAGTGGCTTCGACCAAATCTTGGACAGATAGTACAAATAGCTAGCATAGGCCTCTAAAGCTTTGAGATCAGCCATAAACAAATCCACACCAGAGAGTTCTGTCAATGGTCGACACATTTTAAAATCAGTTTACAAACAATCCTTTGATCCACCTTGCAAAGTTTGGCACAATCACACAGAATTTCCTATGAGCTTTTCCAAGAGATTAAAGATAACTTTCAGTCTTCTGTATTAACTATGTCATCTACATTCAGAAATTGCTCATGAATACATGATAAATGAACAACACTAATTTTTTAAGTCCCTGGTATTGGAACATGTATCCGCAACTATGGGAACATAGAGTATACCAATAACAGCAACTCTTTCTCATCCATAGAAATGACTCGCTAATCGCTATAACGGAAGAGACAAAGAGAAAGGAAGGCCAAGCTTATCAACATTCAAATACGGGTAAAGAAAACAAAAAAGAGATCAGAAAGAAACGAACACTGCAATGCCTCCAAAATCTAAATAATTACCAAGAATGTGGTTTCTATGAGTACTCAATAAATAAATATATATTTGTAAGTAATACGTACATACCAAATTTCAACAGCCTACATGTATACAGTATATGTATATTACTTTTTTGAAAAAAAAAATAAACAGCATACGTATATTACGAAAAACATTCACCTGGATAGGAAGGTTGGGGCAACGACTGAGGCTCCATAGGAGAGAGCGGGTCCTCGAGATTACGAAGCCAAATTACGTCGTCTACTGTCTTCGCAACTTGAGGAATATGAAGCGCCTCATTTGCCCACTCGATTCCTTTACTAATTTTCTTCTTCAAGAACTCCATATCTTTACGCACCACGTCACCAAAATGTCCGAAATTACCAATTGCCGGCACTCGTCTCTGTTTCATCTTCTTCGACGCTGTCTTGGCTGCCATGCCCGACCGAAGCCTCACGATAGGCGTCGTCGAAGACGGCGATATCGCCAAAATGGCCATCTCCGAAAGCAAGAGTTAATCTGGACACAGAAATTGCGGCTAATGAGTAATTCGCGATTGGTTGGGGTTATGGAAGAGATGGAAGAAGGTGAGACTGAGAGAGAAACGAATGGCAGAGAGAGCGGGAGGTTGCGTGAGTGGCTCCTTTTCCAGTGTGGAGAGAAAAAAAAAAAGAAAAAACCACAGGGGAAAATCAGGTGTAGCCGACTTAGTGAGACATAGCGTCTTATGGACGCTTCTAGATGTGATACGTGTCATAATCGTGTGGACTTCAGCCGTATGATGGATATGTCGGTGCATTAAAGTTGCCGTTAGTTTCTTTTTACCGTTGCCTGTAAAAAATGACATATTTAATAACAATAAATTTTAATAGAATTTGTATGATAATAATTTTTTTTTGTCAATTTACTAAAATTAATTAAATATAAAGCTTTTAAGAATTATTTATTTATTTTGGTTTATGTTCTTCTTTATGAAATCAATTATAATTATTGTAAATTTATAATAAAAAAAATTATGAATTAATATAATTTTATAAATTTAAAAAGAAAATTATAAATAAAACTTTCAGAATTTAATTGTAGTATAACAAATATTTCGAGAACTAAAATTATTCATTAAGAACCGACCCAATTGAGCCGTCGCAAAACCGAGCCAGACCGAGCCCTCACGTTTCCACCATTTCAGGCCGGCCCGATTAGAAAATAACCGGGCCGGTTCAACCCAATCCACCACTAAATAAACAAGTTGTGACTTATTAGTTGATTATTTCATTGGCAGCAAGGCAATCCATCAGTAGTTAGTGAGCAGTGATTGGACAGTTTTGTTCATCCGCAGCTTTAATAAGCCATTACTTCTCCTCTTTGCGGGGACCTCTGGTTTTCCCAACTGAAATCTGCATCGCTCTCGCCATTGACAATCTTTATAAACCCTCGAGTTCTTTCCGTTCACCATTTCTTAAACTCTCAATCCGACTCACCGTTCATGAACTCCCACTTTCACGATTGCATAACGGTGGAAATCTTCTTTTCTGTGGCTCAATCGGTGAGCTCTATTGTCTGTTGGTGATTGCATCAGTTGTCACTGTTTGGTCATTTCTTCACCTCGCTGATTCAATCGCTCAGCTCCATTTTCTGTCGCTATTGGCATCAGTTCATCACTATTCGGGACTCTCTATGACATTCATCGCTCCTCCTTTGCCAGGTAGTTCCTTATGTTTAATCAATTTCGGTTAGATGGCGTTCTGTTTTTCGCTACTATCTCGGACCGAGGTTTGTGCGTGAGATAATTGGGGGAAGTTGTGATTTATGAAGGATAAGAAGAAAGCTACTCGTCTGCAAGAATAGGAGGAGAAATTTTTGTATGCCACAGTCTTCCTGGAGTCCTTGGGCGTTGGGAGACACGAAGAAGTTTTGGCGAGATTCTGCCGTTTGATCGGTTCAATCTTATTGTATAATTAAAGAGAATTCATGAAAATATAGCTTTTATCTTTTTTTTTTTGTAAATTTATTTGGAATTATCAGGCCTTTTTTTTTCAGAGGCCTTTGTTCTTTTTATAAGGAAGAAAAGGATATGGCTGTATATTACAAGTTTAAAAGTGCAAGAGATTATGATTCAATCCCCATGGATGGTCCTTTTATATCTGTTGGTGTTTTAAAAGAAAGAATTTTTGAATCAAAGCACTTGGGTAGGGGTACAGACTTCGACCTGGTGGTCACAAATGCTCAAACTAACGAAGGTTGGTCTTGCTTTCTGTTTGATTTTGCCCAGATCAGTAGTTAGGGTTGATTGGAACTGCCACATAGTTTACGTCAATGAATTATTGTTAGTTAGCTTGGTTATTTTGGCAACTGGGTTGCCTGTATCCTGGCCAGTCAGGAGAAAGTAATGTAACTTGGAAACTTTGCCAGTATTTGATTATGGAATTTGTGGCAGTATATTTGCACTTGCTTTATGCATTCAGAGTCTCAGACTTGTTTCTCTCTCTCTTTTCCTTTTTTTCAATTTCAGAGTATCTTGATGAAGCAATGTTAATCCCCAAAAATACCTCTGTGTTAATTCGCCGGGTTCCTGGACGTCCTCGTTTGCCAATTGTTACTGAACAAGAGTACTGCATCAAACCTTTAAAATCTTAATCACCTAGAAGAGATTCTTCGATCTTAGTTGAAGTGCTTAGAGATAAATAACTGTGGAATATTGTCTTTAGCTTCATTATGTTTGCATTATTGTTCTTCTAAAAAAATGTTTGCAATATTGTTTCTTGATGATTTTGCCTCTTTGCCTTTCAATCTTTGGCAAACCTATATCCTGGCCATGCTATATGGCTTAATTAGGTGTCTGTTTCTACTGTGGCCTTTTGTTGTTAAAATTTCAAGAGTCTGGCCTGAAGTTTTTTCTGGTGTTGGATATTGCAGTCCAAAGGTTGAAAATAACAAGGTGGAACTCACTGAACCTGGAAAGAATAACATTCCTGGTACTGAACCATCCACTATGAAATATGTAAGCTTTATTCTCATCAAACGATTCTTAAATTCAACCTGGCTTTGGTCTCAGTATTGCAGTTTATCTCAACTCTTCTGTTTCTATGATCTTTAGTCCGAAGAGTCTGAATGGGATGAATTTGGGAATGATTTATATTCAAATCCTGAAGTGCTGCCAACTCGGTTGAGCAATCCACTTCCAGATGCTCAGCCCACAAATAAAGCTGATGAGGACAGCAAGATTAAGGCTTTAATTGATACTCCAGCCTTGGACTGGCAGCGGTGAGATGCATTCTTTGTTTTTGGAGCCATGTTTTTTCAATGAATATATATGTTTTTAAATTTCTGGTCTGTAATGGTTATAGATTTTATTGTTTTCTCATTCTTGCATGCTAAAGTTTCTTCTGTATTGCAGCCAAGGTTCTGATGGTTTTGGCCCCGGTAGAGGATTTGGAAGGGGAATGGCTGGAAGGACAGGTGGACGTGGTTTTGGTATTCTCTTGCACCTCGTCCATTTTTCTTTTAAAGAATACATGCATAGTTTAATACATATGCAGGCTTGATAAGATTAAATTCTTTTTCAGTGTATTGGCATTTATGGTGCGGACAATGACCTTTCTTTTGCATCACTGAGATTTTTATATTTGGTTGGTCTATGTTGTTATAATCTACTAGTGTTATGTATAATACTGAAAAATTATGTTTTCTTTGTTGAGGTCGATTAGGATTGGAGCGGAAAACACCACCTCAGGGCTATGTTTGTCACCGGTGCAAAGTTCCTGGTATGTTCATATTTTGAGATTGGTTTTCCCTCTTAGCTAAAAACAATGCATATTGGTGCCTAATAAGGGAAAGTTTTTTTTTTTTTTTTTTTTTTTTTGGTTCAGGACATTTTATTCAGCATTGCCCTACTAATGGCGATCCTAATTTTGATATTAAAAGAGTAAAACCTCCAACTGGTATTCCAAAGTCTATGTTGATGGCAACCCCAGATGGATCATATGCATTGCCAAGTGGTGCAGTTGCTGTTTTGAAGCCAAATGAGTAAGTGACAACGTAATTATGTTTTTGGTCTCATTAATCAATGACTTCTAGAAATTTTGCTAGGTGGATGTAAGTTTGTCTGCTTTCTTTCCCCTTCAATAATGTAGGGCTGCTTTTGAGAAGGAAATTGAGGGCTTACCGTCAACACGCTCAATTGGTGATCTTCCTCCTGAACTTCATTGTCCATTGTGCAAGGAAGTGATGAAAGATGCGGTGTTAACAAGCAAATGCTGTTTTAAGAGTTTTTGTGATAATTGTAAGTTCTGTTATTGCTTCTTTCAACTATTTGTTTTATTTCTTGTTATGAGTCTTCAGATTTTTGACCTTTTTAACATAGTAATAATTAGTTCTTCTTAGTTTGGCTTGATTTTTACGCATTCTTATACTTCTACCTTCTTTGTGTTTGCTTTTATTTTATATTCATGCTACTTAACATGTAACTAAATGCATTGCAGGCATTAGGAATTACATTATTTCAAAGTCGATGTGTGTATGTGAGGCAAGAAACATACTTGCAGATGATCTTCTCCCAAATAAGACACTTAGGGATACCATTAATCGAATTTTGGAGTTTGGCAATAATAGTGCTGAAAATGATGAAAGCAGCTTTCAAGTTCCAGGTTTGTTACTTCTACCTTTTCTTTTTCAAAGAAAAAAAAAGTTGAAGGCTTGTTACTTATTTTTTGATGGGAACTTATTTATATGAATTTCATCTCATTTGTTATTGATCTAGTAATTAGTTCCTTAACTGTTCTCACAACTTCATGTATTTGGAATTTAGACATGGAGTCTGCACGTTGTCCACCGCCTAGGTTTCCATCTCCTACTACTTCAGCTGCATCAAGAGGAGAACACCAAAAGGCAGCATCTGCTGTTCAAGAGACTCTAGCTGTGAAGGAGGTGGTAGAAGAGGGACAGGCTGTTAGTGGCCTGAAGTCTGCCATAGAGAAAGTCCAAACTGCCAAAACAGTTATTGATGCATCTGAAGCTACACATGAGTCATCGAGTATGAAGGAGGCAGCTTTACATGGGAGTGCTCCCGTGGTTGAGGAAGAAGTACAACAGAAGTTAGTTTCTGGTGAGCTAGGTAATGGTTGTTTCATAATTTGTTGCAGAGTAGAGAACTTGTTATGCTTTTCATCTGATCTTATTTTTTTCCCTCTGTGATCTTCCCTCTCATCTGGAAGTTAGGCTCATTTAATTGCTTCTGACAAATAAGAATTTTTTTATAGTCGTCTATGATGGAAAATGAAGAAAGAAAATTTTGATGTGTATTTGATATATAGAAGAGACATGACAAACATTTTGTTGTCTACTCTCACGTTGGTTTTGCTTTCTCAGGAAAGAAGAAGAAAAAGAAGAAGGCCCGCGTGCTTGTAAATGGTATTCCTGCTGCTGTATTTTATCATTATGAAGATTATTTTTGTCCATCGTTAATATTTATCATTTTGGTTTGGATGCCTTATAGACTTGCAGTGGAAAGGTCCCCAAGATCAGCTAGCTGAAAACTACATGATGCCAATGGGCCCATCTGGCTTTAGTCCATACTGGACTGGCATGCAACCTGGAAGGGATGGATTTATGGGTCCTTATGCTAGTTCCATGCCCTATATGGGCTATGGACTAAGTCCCTTAGACATGCCGTTTGGGGCTTTGGTGCCTCAGGATCCTTTTGGTGCACAGAGCTTTATGCTTCCCAGTGTACCACCTTATAGGTAAGCTGCCTTCTTGCACAAATTACATTCTCTCTCCCTCGCCCTCATGTGACTGGTTGGTGAAGATGTATGAGGGTGAGGTGGTTAACTCATCATCGACCCTGCATGCCATGTTAAGTAACAAATTAATAAGTAAAGGAATTTGGTATGTTCTGTATTTTTAGGGATTTCACAGGCTTTGGAATGGGTATGAATATTCCACCTCCTGCCATGAGCAGAGAGGAATTTGAGGCCCGGAAAGCTGATTTGAGGAGGAAACGTGAAAATGGGAGAAGAAGCGAAAGGTAACACAACTTCCTCCCAGTCCCTCCGGCTGTTAGATAATTTATGTGTGAATTTCTGGGTAGAACTTTCTTTAGACAGCAGGCAATATAAGGAGTTGCTATTATGCTTAAGAGCCCAGATTGCTTTATATTCTTTTTTTCCTTTTTTTTTTTCAATAAAATGTTATTAGAAAGGAGGAAGAAGATTACAAAGTAAGGTCATGTTTGTTACACTGGATCGGATAAAATGAGGTATTAGTCAACCGACCTAGTAATTGTTAACTAAAACTGACCTGAGCAGGGTAGGCCAAATACTCTAGCAATGGTGAATCGTGTTATTGGCCCCATTAGGGCAACTAAGCATCACTCAGTCTAGATAGTGTATATTTTACCAAAGTGCCCCAGTTCAATTTTAGTTTCATTCAAATTTAACCTTCATAACTACAGCGATTACAAAAATAATAGTTATTTCAAGAAAACCCCAAAAACAATCCAACACCACCCTGCTGTCACCATACGATGTGAACCTCACCAAAGAAGATTGAAACCACCGTCAACAATTCATCTAGATTCTTTGGCATCAGTGAACATTTTTGGCTGCAGGTGAATCTTTTGGTCACATTGGAAACCACTTATCTGGATGTTCCTCTTGGTGGTCCAGTTAAACTTTTTTGGGGATCTAATGGTGAATAGGATATTTAGAGGGGAGAGAGTTGGAAGGGTGATTTATTCTCTCTTGGGAGTTGGGTTACTCTTATCAAGCTTGCTTATCTAGTATTCCCTTACATTATCTATTTCTATTTAGGATCCTGGGTGATTATTAAAGTTGAGAAGGCAATTTGTAATTCTTTTACTGTCTGGAGTGGGTGAGTCTTTGAGCGACACCTTGGTGCGTTGGGATGCATCCTTCCTAAAGAGGATGGTTTAGGCATCAGGAATCTCTTATCTGAAAACCTCTCTTTGGGCTAAATGATTCTGTTGCTTTCCTCTGGGACCTTGTTCTTTGTGGTACAAGGTGATAAAGAGCAAGTATGGTCTGCACATGAATGAGTGAGATTCTTTGACTAGGAGTACAACTCACTGGTGCCCTTGGAAGGCTATCTCACAACTGTATGATGTGTTCCTCCCCTCACTTGGCTTAAGTCGGTGATGGCTCTTGTATTTTGTTTTGTGAAGACATTTGGGTTAGAGATATTCCCCTTTCTAATCTTTTTCACCACCATTATGATCTTTATATGCATTATCATGCGCTTATATGCCAGTTCCTCAATAAGATAGATGGATAAATCTCCTGGAATCTTATTTAAAAAAAAAAAAAAAAATCCTGGAATCTGTTTAAATGATCACGAATTTGAAGAGGTGATATCTTTGCTCAAAATTCTTAATATTTTTCGTCAGTTCCAGATTGTCAAATTTGGTTTTAGAGTCTTCAAATCTATTTTGTTGCAAGTATTTTTTTGCAACTTGCAAATTCCTCCTCTACCCTCAACAAAACTTTCGAAAGTGTTCTTTTGGAGGGCTAAAGCTCCCTTTTTTGGTTATGATTTTTATATGGATGATGGTTCTAAATAAGAAAGGAGCCTGTTTAACAAGGTTGATGCTTCTGCTGTGGATTGTCAAAGTGTCGTTAATAGTTATTTTATAAAATTGCTTTTAGTAAGAAACTGCTGTGTTTGGTACAAATAACTATAAAAAATATTATTAATTTAAAAAACAAAAATTGTTGTGTTTAATATGAATAATTATTGATACTGAAATGACCAAAAACGATATAAGAGAATAAAATCAAAGTAGAAGTTGTTGTGTTTTGTGGAAATAGCTCTAAATACTATGCCCAAGCGCTTGTGGCTCATAATCTAGCAATTGAAAACTTTGCCAAAATATTATTTCAGTTCTCTCCCCAAAAGGTGGTCTAGCAAAATAGCAACACCTAGCAAAACAGTTACTCTCTAGAGCATCTTATGATCCTTACTCTTCTTGAAAGCAAATAAAAAGGTGGATTTGTGGAAATGTACATCTCCAAGTTGGGAGGGCACATCCTGAAAGCAGGGAAAATAGAAAATAATTTAGTTCAATTTGTCTACATTTGAAAATAATTTAGGAAATAACTAGAAAATGACTATAAACACACATATGAAGAGAATGCTTTCTTAGGTCTCTGAGTACCCGGATTTCTTGATTAAGAAAGGATCTAGAATATCTTTTTATCTTAACTAATCTGTTACTTGAGAGTATTTATGTTTTTCACTCTTTTCGTTATTCCTTGTTTCTACATGTTTCCTTGGTGATTTAAAGTGTCTCCTGTTTCTTACTTTTGCAAGTGAGATAAATTGATGGCGGTGGTGATGGTATACTGATCACATTCACGCAACATGAACATATCGATTTTCTTTTGAAAAGAACATGACAGTATAGAAATATGGTGGCCATAGCACAAACCTAATGCCAAGGCATAGAGATGAAACATTTGTTTTATGTTCATTTCCATATTAATTGTTTTTTCACCTTTCACTGTGGTTTAATAGGAACTTCTTCTCATCTGCATTCTACCCTTTTTCTTTTTGTGTTTGGGATGACCTTATTGGAGTGTATTGTCATGCTGCAAAATGTTGGTAATGAGTTCAGAGCGAAGTGGCTGTTATACTTCTCTTGTAGTCTTGTATGATATTGTGACTCGAGAATTTCTTTTATGCCCTCAATCTTCAGCAGGGAGTTCTCCAGAGAGTGGGAACATGGTAGAGAAGCAAGCAGCAGTGTGGATGTCTCCTCAATGAAATCAAAATCCGTATGTATTTTTTATCCAAAAATGTCATTTTCTTCTCTTTGTTATCTATGGCAATAGGTACATGATGTAGTTTTGAACAAGATTTTTTTAGCTGGAACAAACCAGCTTGGCAAGATAAATCTTTATCTTTTTGCTATGAAGAAAAAGACATTTTTTTTTTCATTGCTGACAAAACCGTCTATAATGTTTTAATTTGTCATATTTCTTGTTATTCAAGTTATTAATAATATTTGCCCACTTTTCTGTTATTTTGCCCTAATAATATCCATTTTGATAATATGGAGAATTCTTAAGAAACGGTCAGAAACTTGGAATCTTCTAAAGGCTCTTCAACTAGCTGCCTCTTGTAATATCTCAGATTTTGATCGATTCCTTTTATGTTGTTTCCGCTTTTATAGAGTGTTGGTGGAAAAGAAACAAAAAACAGAGACAGGTTAAGGTTGCAGGGTGTGAGCAAATTCAAAATGCCAAGTCTTGTGCTCTTGTTTGTAAATTCAGCTAGCTTGAATAGGAGTTACCCTTTCCAATTTGTTCTTTGCATATCAAATTTCTCTTTTATCCATCTGCCCAGATGTTTCAGTCTACTAGGTCAGCCATTTCATTAGAAAATAGAATTTGAGATACTATCTTTGGACATGAACATTTACCAAGCTTTATCCCCTAGAATTATCGGCAATATCATTGTCCCCAACAATTCCATCTCCTACCAAAACAACTGGAAATAAAGTCATTCACTCTTCACAGCAAGGAAAAGTTGAATTATAGTGATTTCCTCAGATCAGGTTATCCATTTTCCCATGTAGATGATGTTACAAGAATTTAAGGCTATGATATGCTGCCTTGTGTATTCTCACATTTTCATATTGTAAATACATAATATTTTGGTGTTTATTCTTTCAAAAAAGAAAATGAAGTTTTGGTGTTTATATGTGGATTTTGATCTGCAGAATGGAGTCACCAACTTTTCTTTTATACCCATTGCCTTCTCGTCTAAAGTTATCCGCTAGCCACTTTTTTATGGTCAGATGTATGTTAATTATCAATTTGAACTATCATTAGTGGTGTTGATTAGAGCCATGAGGACTTGGAAATGTGTTGGAGGGTTATGAATTTTCACTAAATTTTGTTATCTTTTTTATTTCTCTGGTGTGGATTTGGTTGGGTCTTTTCATGTTGGGTTCATGAGAAAAATCAGATGTCTAGAGAAGTATATACAAAGAAGTTATCAGCCAAATAGTGCTCTTGCATGGTATAAATTTCATGAGAAAAATCAGATGTCTAGAGAAGTATGATTAGCCTACCAAGAAGGGCAGAAAGCTATTTAGTAAGGGTCTTTGTGTCTTGAGTTTGTTAAAAAATGTTTCAAGTTCTTCTTTTCTCCCTTTCAATGAAATTTCTTTTATCACAAAATGTTTCTTTTAAACTCTACCACAGTCTCTACTTCTTTGAACCATTGAGCCAATTAAAAATGTTGACTGGCAAAATGTTTGAAGGTGGGCATTGCCTGTGTAAGGAAGAGAGGAAGGGTAAAGGAATTCAAGGAAAATACTTACTAAATGCAATATAACGGGTTTGGAAGCCTTGAAAAACTGGTTTATTGGTTTTGCAGGCTTTCACTGGAGTCCATAACAAAAGAGAAAATTTAATAACAAAGGAGAAAAATGTTTTTCTGTCTGGAAATTGAGAAGCTCTCTCTTTCTTTCTTTTTTCCCCTCAAGGAAATATGAATTTGGAAAAAGCTAAAAGTATTGTTTAAGACTTATGACACATGGTCAAAGGGTAGAAGTTAAATAATTTATGCCTTTCATTTCTATGTTGTTGCAGAAACCAATCTCACATTCACTCTCGTCAAGTGGAGACCACCACCACCGCCACCACCAATCTGAGAGGTTATCACCAGAACAGGCTGCACATGACATTGAACCACCACCTCGACAATCCAAGCGGAAGTCCAACCATTATCACGAACACGAACGCGAACGCGAACATGAACAGTCTCGTGACTGGGAGCATGATTTGGACTATGATCACTATGAGAAGGACCAAGAACGTGATAGAGACCTTCGCCGTCACCATCACCACCATTCTGAATCTTATTCTAAGCCCTTGTTAGAAACTGCACCCAAACCCACCTCAACAACCACTGCATCGGTGGCTGCGGCAGTTGGAGCAGCAGCAGCTGCAGACAAGAAGCAGAAGGCAAGTGTGTTCTCTCGAATAAGCTTTCCAGAGGAAGAAAGAACCAATAAGAAAAGTAAGGTCTCTTCTGCGACAGAAGCAGCTGGTGCTTGTGGTTCTTCTACTCACCAGAATAAGGCATCCTCGATTATGAGTGCAAATTGTGGTGGTAGTGGCGTAAAGAAGAGTAAAACCAGTGCTACTGGTGATTATGAGTCAAATGATGATGAGAGGCATTTCAAGAGGAAGCCATTAAGGTATGAGTCATCGCCACCAACAGCTACTGACTGCAAAGAGGAGCTGCCTCGTCATTCAAGGGGCTCCAGGGATAGAGACCGTGAACATGAGTACGAACGCCACGGCAAGCACAGATAGATGACCCGAGAGTACTTGGAAACATCAAGTTCTCGTCACAATGTAATTCCTCCTGCTGCTACAGCTGCTGCTGACAAAGAGAACAAAGGAAATGCCAAGAGAGATCTCCCTCTGACTATACTCTGCAGAAGTCCAGTATCTCTGCCAAGTGATCGATACATGAAAGAGTGGCTGACAAAGAAACGATCTGGGGGAACAGATAAATGTTGTACGCTCTGAAACAGATACGGACATCACCCCCAGCCTTTTAATGAGTGACCTATCTTTTCCTTCTCAACAAAAATTTAAAAAAGAAAACTTTATGTATCTGTTTAGAAATGTTTAAGATTCGAGTTTTTGTACTTTTTCAAGTTTTATCAACATTTAAAAGAGTTTGTCATTTCATTTCATATTGGATTTTGCTTTAATTAATTTATGCTTCACCTCATCTCAATACTAATGACTGGCTTTCTTCTTTTCCACTAAGTTATTCCTTCCTCTCTCTGTTAAATAGAAATGTAATTATAAGATTAATGATCTTGCTCTCAGTTAAGAAAAAAAGAGAGAAAATTCCCAATCTTATAAGTTACACGTACGAGCTATTGAAAATGGATATATTACAGGGAAAAGAGCCACTTACAGCAATCTCATTAAAGAGATTGTCCAGTACATAGATGTTCTTTGGTGATATGGAATTATCTGAATCCTCTCCTTTTTGTAATCCTTACTGTTTGGTATTTAAAGTGAGTTTGAGGATGTCATTCAAAGTGTTCATAGAGAAACCATCAGAGCTGCATATGTTGTCTGCAATGCAAGCCATGTGCAAAAGCTGCAGAACAGTCTGTCAGATAAATGTAGATGGTGGAGAGGTTTTCTCCACTGTTGCAGCAGGTATTGACTTCTTGGATCTGATTCTAGAATTCACTTTAGGGAATATTTCATAATTAGATATCTGCATGTATTAATCGTTTGTCTCTTATACTATGATATTTTATGTAAGTTCTCATTTCATGCTTTCTGCATCAGTTTATTTGCAGCTCATCTCAACCACTCTGAACTTTTTCTGGTTTGCAGGTTGTAAAAAACATTCAGAGCTAAATTGCTGCTTTGATGAACATCACTCTGCCATTGCAGATTCTGTTAATGTTCTTTTGTGAAACCGTTCTGTAGTAGAGGTGATAAGGATTGAGATGGTCATCCTGGTTTGCATTTATTTAGATACTGAACAGTTCTGGGGAAACACACTATGTTTCAAACGGGTTCCTGGTACGTTGCACAATCTCCCGACCCTGCTGCACTTTTTTAATCTCTCTCTCAGCTATGACACCCTGGAGCTTTCATATCTTTAATGATACGTTTCCAGATCAACAATTTTCAATTAACTTGTTTTCTGCATGCTGTTGATTATTATGTAATTGTCTGAATTATCGCAAGAGGTTTGTTTTGCCTCTTCAGTTTGGCCTTTAGGTGGCCTGTTGTAGATTTTTAGTAATTAGACAGAAACACAAAATTAATTGAGAGATAGATTGAGAAGTATAGAAGGGAGGAGACATGGCTTTGCAAACATGTGAAAGCCACATCATCACCGTGTCGCATCTCAATCATAAAACCTAAAACCACTGAAACTACCCCTTTGTTTCATGTTTAAATAAGAATCTTAGTCTTGCATTCATGACTTGGGTTCGTTCTGCGGAATAATATTATAATTAAGGCAAGCAGAAAGATAGATTCGGGCAATACTGCTTCAAGTTCTCCACTTGCATATGGGTCTTTTAGATTGCAGCCTATGGCTATGGCAAACAATGTTGAACTTTGGCTGCTTTTTTGCTGAACAGTTAGTTCGTTCTCGTCAATGATGAAATTATTTATTTTCACTTCTGGAACCAGGTTAGATGCTGACACAGCTCTGAAACCAGGTTAGATGCTTTCATATAGACCCACCCTTGACCAGCAGATGATCTTTGGTACTTTCTTATTGCATCCTGGGCGTCAGCAGTCTTGATTGGAGCCAGACAGGGGGCTACATCGTGGTCTGCGTTGAGCCTCAGATCACGTTGTGTTTTGAGTGGAGCCATGTTGCTAATTCAAGAAGTTCAAGAAGGTCCTGCTCTGTCTCTGCTTTGTGTTGCTAATCATATAATCTTCTTATTCTGTGAGAATATATGTTTTAATGAATTAAACTAAACTTAATTATATAACCTGGCCTGAAATTTTAAAAACTTGATTTTGTAATTTGCTTTGAATCTAGAGTATAAATTATATTAAAATAATTTATAATGAACCTAATTTTTTGTACTTAATTTAAAAAAGATAGAAATAATAACATATCCAATCTCTACCACAAATCCAAAGGATATCTCCGATGGTCCCCAACCGGATTGCCGGACTCCACGTGGCCCAATCATGTATCACCTGCAAGTCCTCTCGGCCAATAAAAATCCACTACTAGATTCTCCCTCTTCAACAGCTATCTTTCCCATGGCTGTGTACCCCTATACCTTCCTCTTCTTTAGCTCTTCATCAACCTCACCCGCTCCATTCCTCTATCCAAACCCAGATTCCTCTTGGGAAAAATTCAAACACTCATGGCTTCCAACTCGTTGACGAGCTGCGGCGTGGCCGCCGCCGCCTTCCCCGCTCTCCTCTCCTCCTCCAAATCGAAGTTTACTGCCGCAGTTCCGCTCCCCAGCGCCACCAGCAATGGCGGCCACGGCCGTGTAGTCATGTCAGCTGACTGGATGCCTGGCCAGCCCCGGCCGCCTTACCTTGACGGCTCAGCTCCTGGGTAACAATAACAATGAGTTTTGAATTTGTGCTGTAATATTTTGCTCAAGTGACGTTTTTGTTAGAGTGCATTGGGGATTGAACGGTTTTGTATTTTGTTTGCCATTTGGTTGATCTCTAAAGCATTGTGATGTGTTGGTGTGGTGCAGCGACTTTGGGTTTGACCCGCTTCGGCTCGGTGCGGTTCCAGAGAACCTGGAGAGATACAAGGAATCTGAGCTCATTCATTGCAGATGGGCTATGCTTGCTGTTGTAAGTTTTTCTTTTCTTCCTTTTTTTCTACTATTGTCTTGTAGCTATATAATTGATTTACACACACACACACATATATATATACACATGTATTTGCACATATATGATTAATACGCATGGCTTTCGTTTCGTAGAAAATGAAACAGGTATTTTTGAACAAATAACATCATGTAACCAAACCTCTATCACCAAGTATTTAGGCTCTATTTAGCTGTAGAAACTTTGTTTTAAGCCTTTCCTTGTCAAAATTCATACATTTTTATATACAAAATATGTATATTTGTTAAAATGAAAACTATATTTGAAAAATGAAAGTGAAAATATATTATGAATTTGAGAAGAATAAAAAAATCATTTTAAAACAACCCATGTTTCTACCATCATTTTCTGTAAAAATTTATTGTCATTTTCAGCAACTATTCGTATGTGATGTGTAAAAGATGTATGAATCTTAAAAATAGAACTCAAAACGTTTGTCTACAACTGAATATGGCCGTAATAACTTGATCTTTAATGGGTATTGAGTGTTTGTTTATGGGTTTAAATAAAGGTTTATTTTTTTCACTTCATTGTTGATTTGAGTAGTGTATATTTTGCAGCCAGGGATCCTGGTACCTGAGGCCTTGGGTTTGGGTAACTGGGTAAAGGCTCAAGAGTGGGCTGCAACCCCTGGTGGTCAAGCCACTTACCTGGGCAACCCAGTTCCATGGGGCACCCTCCCTACCATTTTGGTCATTGAGTTCCTGAGCATTGCCTTTGTGGAGCACCAGAGGAGCATGGAGAAGGACCCTGAGAAGAAGAAGTACCCTGGTGGTGCTTTTGACCCTCTGGGTTACTCTAAGGACCCCAAAAAGTTTGAGGAGTACAAAGTCAAGGAGATCAAAAATGGTAAACTATCATTTCTTCATTCACCATTTATGAATTTTAAGGTTGTTTTTCCCTCCTAAGGTGGCATGCCATTATTTATATTCACCCTTCAATGCAGTTACGCCATTGCTTTAGCCAAAGTTCACAGCGAGTAAAATATAGGACCATCACACCCTCAAAGACACTATATTATGATTCGATTCAAGTTTCAAGCTCTGACCTCATTCATTGTTTGTAAAACGCCCTTATATTTACCATTAGAGCAGTTACTTGATTTGCACAATTGGAAGATTGTTTGATGTGTTTTGTGATAACACTGGCCCATCTTGAATTTTCTGATGATCGAAAAAAACATGAACATTATAACTGAGAATCGATAAGGAATTGGATTAGAAGAAATGAACCAAATGCAACCTAATTTGTGATCTCTTTCAATGTTTGTTGAACGAATCTGACATGTGTTGGTTGGTTTTTTCGTTTTAGGTCGGCTTGCATTGCTGGCATTCGTGGGATTCTGTGTGCAACAAACAGCATATCCAGGCACAGGACCGTTGGAGAACTTGGCAACTCACTTGGCTGATCCATGGCACAACAATATTGGGGACATCGTCATCCCCAGATCAATTTTGCCTTGAATGATTGATTGGATTGGGACTCTTAATCAGTGTCAAATTACCCACTGTGTAAAACTTCTCATGTGAAAATCTGTAAGGAATCACCAACCCATGTATCCACTCATGTGTTCCATGTAATTAAAGAACCTAGAACTGATGAATTTGCTGCTGTGACTCTCTCCACTAGTTGAAAGTTAAAATGTTGTAGAAGATAGCAAGTAAAATATTCTCATCATTAATAGGGTCTGATTAAACAACTAATGAAGGAGATTAATTGAGTAATTAGTTGACTAATCTGAGAACTGAGAATAAATTAGCAGGAAAAACAGAACAAGTTGTAAACAAACTATTAATGGGGAATCAACAAATATGTCTCCATTGACTAAATATCTTCATCTGCATTGATTACAAACTCTATACGTTTCAGTACTTCACACCACATTTTGCCAGCCAGGTACGGATGAACTCTTGGGCTAGTTTGGTTTTTTTTTTAATTAAGTGTTTATTTGCTTATTTTAATTCATTTAATGTTCTTATATAATATAATTTCTAATGGG